TCTTTCCTCCATTTTGCACCCTTTTATCAAATAAGATCTTTCTAGAATGCAAACACAATATTAGTTTTCTGCTTATCATCCTGCTATGATTTTATATGATTTGAAAGATAAATATCAAACACATGGGGTAATCTTCACTAACCTTCATGATCTTGTCATTATCCACCTGTTTTGTTCATTTTCTTCTATGCCGACATTTGCCCCAATCCTAGAAAAGTGCTAATCTATATGAGTGTGTGTTTTGATAATCCCCAAGCCTGTTATGGTCATGCCCGTTTTGCCCAGAATGTTTTCCTTATTTTTCTGTCATGAACTTCTCTTCTTTTAAAAATCAGCTCAAAGGTCATGTGTTCCCTGGCAGCTTTCTTGACCCTGCCATCCCCCGATTCCTGCCTCCTCTGAGTCTCCATAGCATTTTATATGTAATAAACTGAGATAAAATGGTCATTACATTTTCATGTTCTACTGTAATTATTTGGCTCTTTCTAATTAGACTCTGAATAAGGCCATAAAGAGCATTGGGTGTTATATATTTTTTGTATCCCCAGAGTCTGGCATGGTCCTTGGCAAATTATAGTCATTACTGAAGACTGAATGGTTTCTCCAGCTCGTGTCCTGGCACCGTATCCTTCTCACACTACACCGCACACTTAGTGACTGTCCTGTCACCCTCGGTGCTTTGTAGATACTGTTCTCTTGGCAGGGATACTCTTTACTTTTCATGTATGTCTCCTGACTAACGCCTACATCTGTATCAGGATCCAGCTTTTGGGCTCACGTGGCATGTCACTCTAAATAACATCCAGTGACTAGATTAGGGACATTTTTCTGTGCTTCCATAGAAACAGTGCACATCCATATCACAGAACTTTTCACTTACTGGTTTTTGGGTGCTCACAACTTAGCCCATAGTTGATGATTTACATTTCTAGGTGGGGGACAACTAATGAAATAAAGGGATAACAGATTCACATGGGTATACAGAATCTGAGAAGTTTCCATAGAACAGAAGTATAATAAATTAGTATTTGAGTGATTTGGAGGCATGTGGAACGCAAAGAGGAAAAAGATAAGTCCATCTACAAGATAACATCAGCAGAGACCCATGTAATAATTATTGTTATTGCTGCAGGTGCCCAAGAGACACCAGCCTTATCTTTGGAAGGGGATTCATTTTACTGTGGAGTTAGCCGAGAAAATATGTAGACAGTTATGCTGAGGACAGTTAGAAGAAAACAAGGAAGACACACTGTATTAATAAATTTAAGTAAATTCTCTAATTATCATGCATAAATAAAACAAAGGTTTATTTCTATGTCAGAGTCTAATGTGAATCAGCAGTAGGACAGGGAATCTTCCCACTCAGATATGCAAGAACCCAGCTTCCTTACAGCTGGTGACCTCACCATGTGCTGGGGCTATAATATCTTCTTAAACAAGTCCACACTTGATCGTCTGTATTTGGTTGCAGATATGTTAGGAGAGAGAGCATAGAGAAATGCAACGGCTATCCCAAGAGCCAGGCTTGGAAGAAGCCTCCAGCACCTCCATTCACATTTTGCTGTCAGAACTCAGTCATGTGGACCTAACACTAAAGAACTCTGGGAAACATAGTATACCTGTGTTGCTAGGACCAGAAAATAATTGGGAATTAAGAAACTTTTAAGATTGTGACTGCCATGCACGTAGGAATTTTATTTCCTGCAGTAGGGGATAGGGCACAACTAATATAGTCCAATGGGAGAAGAGTGATTTGAAGGACAACTCAAGAAAAAACCTACTCACAAAGTTTTGGAGGAAGAATTAAATGGTGAGGGGAAACTAGTATGAGGAAAATTGTATAAAGTTTCTGAAAGTTTAAGGAGAAAATTACAACATTACCATCAACACAGTGTGAGTTTAGAGGAAACGGAAGAGGTGCCGGTTCACACGCAGTGGCTCCGACAAACTCGGTCCCGTGCCCTAGTCTTCTAGAGAAAAGTGAATTTAGTGCAAATACCCAAATTATAACTGGAGCTCCCAAAATTACATGTGGGATTATATTTGGATAATATCTGACATTTCGGGGGGTTGGCACTTTAAACTTCTTTAATTTATATGCATGTGTGAACATATACATATATTTGTATACGCACATGCATGTGAATATATATAAAACATGCAAAAATACACACATCTGTAAATGTGTTACATATTTTTATATTACATGGAAATTTGCCTCTGAAGTCATCCCATGGCAGTGTTTGTACAAATGCTGCAGATGCCCAGCTCACAGATGGGAGCTGAGCGTTTCGTTTCCCCAGGTTCTTCCGGGTGATGAATGATTGGGTCGGGATGAGAACGTGGATGCTCTCCTGACCGGCTCCACGCCTGCCCCGCCTGGCCACTGCTCCACTGCGCTACTATTATGAAGGTGCCTAAGCGGGACAGTGAGCAGTTCTCATTCTGAGAATGCTTAGTTCTAACTGCTTAGCATGCTTTAATTTTAGCATATTTCACTGTGGTTTTCTAAGACACTCATAAGAAGATACAACAACCTTGGGTAGTATGGCATAAGGTGGGAGAGCCTGGGTTTGGAATCACAATTAGAGTTCCCTATGAAAGTTTAAAATGTGTCACTCTGTAAAACACAGGGCTAGAACTGTGGTTTTCCTGAAAATGAGCATGGTGTAATGATTCAAAATTCAAAACACAGGTACACCTGACAGTAATGAAGACCTATGTGTGCACTCTGATTTTCTCCTTGAGTGGCTGTGCCACACTGGGGATGGTAAACAAGCTCTCTGGTCCTCAGTGTTCTCATTTGCATAATGCCTATAATAATACTACATGTCTGATAAGAGAAGTATAATGTTCAAAGGACACAATAGCAATAAAGTCCTTTTTTCAACAATGGCAATCATAAAATAAGTGCATAATGAATTGAAATATTAAAATTATTATTAAAAGCAGTTGTGTGAACTTGTGCATGTTAAAATAAATGGCCTTTGACACTCCATTTCCTTATTCATGTGGAACTCAAGTGTGGTGGAAACTCTGCCTTCTGTTCTGGAGGATGCCTTCACAGGTTCTCCAGGGCAGAAAACCTCAAGGTCTGGTCCCCTGACAGGTAATGGCAGAAGCTAGGGACTTGTTAGAAATGCAAATTCTCTGGCTCCTAGTGAGTCAGAGACTCTGGACATGAAGTTCCACAGCCTGAGTTTAACACCTTCCTGGAGATCCTGAGGCCCCTCTAAAGTTTGAAAACCACTGCTCTACTGGAAAGGAGAACTGTGAGGAGAGCTCTTATAGTTTCTAACAGCTATGGTCGCTGACACCCTGGAAACCCTAAATGAAGGGTCTGTGAACCTCGAGTCCTGTGTTAGCCACATCCGCTTATGGATCAGAAGCCTCTTGGCATAAGTCCAGTCCTATACAGATTCAAAATATACCGAATGACAGAGGAGGTTTTTGCTCCTTTTTCAATGGTTGGTCACGTAGATGTCATGAGGTTGAGGCCTGGAGAGCAGTGCTTTGTCCTACTTGTTCTGTTAATCCACAGGAGGAAGAGTAGAGAGAGAAGCCTGGCCGTTTCGAACCTCAGAAGAAAGATGGCCCACATGGATGTTCCCTTGTTCCTGGCAGCTCTGTCTTTTTTCTAGTCCTGCTGTTTTTACCCCCTCGACCCTTGGAAAACTCTGTGCTTTACTCCCTTGAAACAAGCTCTTGAACCTTTGTCAAATTCTGCAGTGGCTTTGGAAACTGCACTTGGGCTATTAGTGGAGCATGTGAATGAACGGAGTTGAACACTTAAATCCAACTTCAGTCTTGTCACCCGTTGTGGCTACAGACCCACTGGAAGCTAGTTTTCTTCGTTTGAGTCTGTTTCAATTTTGTGTGTTTGTTTAGTTTGGTCTTTAAAAATTCCACATGTAAGTGAAATCATATGGTGTTTGTCCTTCTCTGAGTAACTTATTTCATTGAGCCTAATACTCTCTAGGAGGATTCTAGAAACCTGGGTTCTCTAATCACCTGCCAATCATTGTTTACGTAAATCAGTCAACTGGTTGATTCTTTTCATTTTAACAGACCGTCCTTATGGTTCCTTGTCATAATAAAGTACAATTAAAAAAAAAAGTACCTAAGTACCTCACTTTGGCAAGCGTTCATTGTCTCCCACCAGAAACATAAAATAATCCTATACATAAAGTTTGTATATCCTATTAACATTATTTAGATGGTACTCTTTGAGGAATATTAAAGCTGCTATCTTGTGCTAAGAAGTATTTTGATAAGAGATATTATCAAGGCAGATTCCAGTTTAAAGGTCATCAAATTAACTGAATGAACCTAAACCCGTTTGCGCCACCTGGAACAATAGGAGCTAATCACCAATGTATTGCCTTTGATCCCCAAATCTCTCCTGAGACAGAAAAGAGTGAGAGATGGGTCTCCGAATTAGCTATGTGGACTGGTTCAGGGGCAGTACCCCCAAATACTTTAAGGGCTGACCAGCAACTGTTAAGGCAATAGTCATTAATCCCCAAGGGGGACAAATGCTCAGAGTTAGAAGAGCAGTTAAAATCTCTAACTAGCTGGGTTCTAGGGGCCCCAACATCTAGGTGGTGTCTTGGGAACTGGCCTAGATCACAATAAGCCACAAAACTCTTGCCTATAAATAGCACAACTGACTAACTTGTCTCTCTTGAAAGTCAGTGCTTCGAACACTTAATTAAAATACAATTTTCTGACTGCAGAGTGGTGGGGAGGTGTCTTATAAAGTACATTTTTCAGGACTTCAAGTTCATTAAAACAAATTCAGAAGATGTGAGATTGCTTTCAATAGCATGCAGTTTAACCAGTGCCCCAGGGTTCTCTGAGGAAGACAGGAGATTAGACTATAGTCCGCTAGATTTTAGGATTACAATGGTAAAGAAAGAAAAACCAAAGCAACAACAATAAGGGGGAAAAAAGTACTTGGAAAGAACACTTGCCCAAATGCCGGGCAAAACTCAACTTACCAGCTTGCTCTAGAGAGAGGCGACCTGTCAGATCACTGCTCCAGCTGAGGTTCTCACCCTTCTCCCACCACCTGTGGTCCCTGATTACAACAGTTCTTTGAGGGAAGGCGTCTTGAGCTCCATCTCGTGGCCAGAGGGAGTTTCTAAGACTGTCATGTTTATTTTGTCAAAGACCAACAATTAAACGATGGAAACGTGTTTAATGAATCTCTTTGCAATCATAGCCAATATATCTAAAAGCTTTTCTAGACATTATTAGAAATAACAAAAAAGAGCAAAGATGCCCAAACCCCTCTGCCTTCCATTGACACCTCTAAAACACATTGGGTATAGAACATACTCACCTGAATTCTTTTTCATATGCCTGTGTATTTTTTTGGAAGATTTTTGTTTCTTAAGGTTATATATTTTTCATTTAAGAAACATGAATTCTACTTAATAAAAAATGAAATTTCCTTTATCAAATTCAAAGAGACCAGATTAAGTATGGCCTGTGATTTGGTGACATTGTTTTGTAATGATCATAATTTGGTGACTTTTTTTATAATGTTTGTGGAGAGAACATGGTAAAACAATACTATGGAAGTTGTTTTCATATTGGAGGTAAAGTGGAAAATACTGAAGGATTTTCTGTAATATGAGACTTGTATTTAATAGTTCACTGCAACAAGATAACGTCTTATCTATTTAGTTTGCATTTCTTTTTTCATGGTCATAGTAATATTCAGGTAATTTACCTTGCATGTTGCTAATACCTTCCAAGATTACAAGAGCCTAATAGAGGTCATCCATGCAAACATCTTCATCCAAGATTAAACCATTGTTTGGTGGGCTCTTAGAGAATTAAATAGAAATTTCAAAGAAACTCAATTTTACATGAAATTGCCAAGGATTCAAGGACATGTCAAAAAGGCAGTTTTAATTCTTTTCTAGCAATAAATGCCAATATAAAATAATACTCTCTTTCTCCAACAATATCCAAATAGAGAGAGACATACAGCCAACTGATCTTATAAACACATATTTGACCTGGAATCAGTACTTTCCTGTCTTACCTTTGAGTCCTCAGTGTAAACATTTCAAAGGTGAAGAAAACAGAGACACATATTCCTCTCTCTCCAATGCACCCTGCACTCTGGCCCATTTCATTATCATGGTTAAAGTTTATCTCCAAATTTAAAACTGAAACCAAAACAAATAAACAAAAAGCACTCTGGACTTTTTTAAATCTGTGAAGCTGTTTCCCCCCCCCCAAAAAAAAACTAAGTGTGTCTTTTTCCAATAGATCCCTAATAGGTACTGTGCTTTTCACCCTTAAATGAATTTAGCCTTAGGCTCAATTTTCCTCAGTTGAATACTCATCTTGATAAATTCCTTAGGGCTTGGTCCCTAGAGATTTTGTTAAACCTAATTTTATTAAAACTTAGGCTTTGAAAACCTTGTTTGCATAATTATCTATTTAAATATGTCTACCTGTTTCTTTAGAGACTTCGATGGGAATCCCCCCACTTCTTTTAATATACTATATTTTTTAGGATTTAAGACTTGCCTTCAAACTAGTAAAGTCTATAAAAAGAAAACATGGTATATTTTTAAACTGAAATTAACCAAAATTCTACATGCAAAGCATTGTATTACACAAAATATTAGTGTTGTTATTTTTGTCATACTGGGTAAAAAAATTGGCTCTGTCTCTCTTTTCCTAGGGAGTTGAACTAATGATAACTATATCACACACAGTTGTAAATAATCAAGAAGGTGGTTTTATTTGAAAATGCCCCAAGCATACCAAAATATTGCATGTATATAAAATATGACATTGTACTTTTTATGCCAAGAAGTCATATCAGCACAAATTATTTTAGGGCCTTTTTTCCAAATCGACTCATGAAGAGGCACTTCCTGCAAAGCTCTCATATGCCTACCATTGTACCGAACGCTCTGAGATGATCCTAGTCTTCACTCATGATGAGCAAGGTGATTTGTGGCTCACTTCCTGTGCCTGACCAATTTGAAATAGGAGGTCCAGAAACGGAACTCTCGAGTCAAAAGCACATGAGCCAGCTTCTCATCAACATCAACTCAAAGTCAAACTACTATTTACGGTGTGGATATTTGCACTCTTTTGGAAAACCAAGTAAGCCTTTGACCCAATGCAGATTTTGGAAGTTCATAGAGGAAGGGCAGAAGACAATGATTTCCCATCCCAACAGCAACTCGCCCTATGAATGAATGAAGTCCTTTCATGTTGCAGTATCATCCAAGGATGGGTCCACATGAGCGGGTCTGGGGAACTGAGCATAAAGCTTCCGCAGTGCTCTTCAGATGTTGTTGATGAATCTTCCTTGTAGTTTTGAGAAACTGAAATAGAGGTACATAGGGGCAATAGTGTTTTTCTCTCTACAACTTGTAAATAATGCTATTCCTTGGTTCACATTATAATGTAATCAGAGAAATATTTACATCACTAAAGCCAGTAACAGTTGATCAGAGAATGATTAAAAATGATAATATACCTAAAGAAATAATGCTTAGAGAAGAAGTGGGTTGCCAGAAATAAAAGCACAATAAAAGGAGAGCGAAAAAGGCAGTATTTAATAGTGCAAAGGGGCACCAAGTACCGTATACCCCTGACAGGTTCTGCCTTTTGTACATGAATAAGGGGGTGAGCAAAGTAGGTTTACAGTTGTGATACGTAGAATACAATAATTAATAATACAAGAATAAACTCCATTTCACATACTCACATTGGTAAGCAAACTCTTGCTGGTCAACCCCTGTATAAGAATTTGATGTCACTGACCATTGTAAATCATATGCAATCTCTCTTTTCCTGGTCTCACCAGGCTGTCATTGCAATGTGATAACCCTAATGGCATCAGTCTTTCTATGCTTCTCCTTCATACCTACCAGGCCAGAACCTTTACTTCCTAAACAGTACCATTCCAGGTACCTCTGGGAACCTACTACAGTACTCACCTGTGATCCAAAACTACCTCTCAACTGCCATTCTATCTTTAAGACCACAGCACCACTACTGGCATTGCTTCCCTGGCATGGTACTGTGTGGCTGCCAGAAAAACCACTGCAGCTTCCACTGTGTTCTAACATGACCACTGAGTGCCAACTTTCTGCTCCGAGCTCCATAGATATGGAATATCATGAGTTCCACTGGTCACTGCCACATAGCCTGGACAGAACCATCTTTGCCAGGCACAGCATTTTCTTCCTAGGAGCTACTGCCAATTCCCTAGATCCCAGTAGGTTACTGGAAGATCCTGCTGTGTGTTACAGTCACAATTTACAATGTGTGCTAATGTTTAAGATAATTGTTTAATGAAATATGTACGGATCTTCCTCCAGAGTGCATGGCTAATCACCCTTTACAAATTCTTTCAACATCTTTATGAGGGTTCAAATGATATAACCCTATTAGTTTCTATTATTATTCCAAATGTTTTCTTAAGCTTTACTTAAGTCTAGATAAGTTCATTTTGACTTCAAGTACTTCTTTATTAGAAATATATAATAGTGTGGAAGCAACACAAACTTTGAAGTCAATCTGCTCTGAGTTCAGATTCTAGCTCTACACTAATTATCTATAGAAACTTGAACAAGTCACTTGACCTCTTTCAGCCTCATCTTTTTTCTTTCAATTTTTATTTTATTGATTATGCCATTACAGTTGTTCTATTCCCACCCTTCATTACCCTCCAACCTGCATCCCCCCACCATTCCCCCCCTTTAGTTTATGACCACGTGTCTCAAGTTCTTTAGATTCTATATTTCCCATACTATTCTTGCCCTCCACCCTATCTATTTTCTACCTACCATCTGTGCTACTTATTTTCTGTACCTTCTCCCCTCTTCTCTTCCTCCCACTCCCCTGTTGCTAACCCTCGATGAGATTTTCATTTCTATTTTTCCGCTCCTGATTTAGCTGTCCTTTTAGTTTGCTTTTGTTTTAGATGTGGTTGTTAATAACTATGAGTTTGCTGTCCTTTCACTGTTCATCTTTTTAATCTTGTTTTTCTTAGATAAGTTCCTTTAACATTTCATATAATAAGGGCTTGGTGATGATGAACTCCTTGAATATGATCTTACCTGAGAAGCGCTTTATCTGTCCTTCCATTCTAAATGAAAGTTTTGCTGAGTAGAGCAATCTTGGTTGTAGGTCTTTGGATTTCATGACTTGGAATACTTCTTTCCAGCCCCTTCTTGCCTGTAAGGTCTCTTTTGAGAAATCTGCTGACAGTCTGATGGGAACTCCTTTGTAGGTGACTGTCCCCTTATCTCTTGCTGCTTCTAGGATTCTCTCCTTCATTTTAATCTTAACTAATGTAATTATGATGTTCCTTGGTGGGTTTCTTCTTGGGTCCAGCTTCTTTGGGACTCTCTGAGCTTCCTGGATTTCCTGGAAGTCTATTTCCTTTGCCAGATTGGGGAAATTCTCCTTTATTATTTGTTCAAATAAGTTTTCCACTCATGGCTGTTCTTTTCCCCCTTCTGGTACCACTATAATTCAGATGTTGGAGCATTTAAAGATGTCCTGGAGGTTCCTAAGTCTCTCCTTGTTTTTTTGAATTCTTTCTTCATATTTTCCTGTTTGGTCATTTTTTCCTTCCTTCTGGTCTACTCCCTTGATTTGAGTCCCAGTTTCCTTTCCATCACTATTGGTTTCCTGTGTAATTCCCTTCATTTCAATTAGTTTATCCTTCATATGTTCCTCTAATTTGTGACTAAAATCAACCAGTTCTGTGAGCATCCTGATCACCAGTGTTTTGAACTGTACATCTGAAAGTTCTGCTATTTCTTCGTCACTTAGAGTTATGGGCTCTGGGGCTTTGAGATCTTCTTGAGCCATTTTTGGTCCGTTTGTGCCCATTAAGTATGAGCAGCAGAGCCTTGGGGGCAGGGCGGGGCCACCGGGGCAGGGTCGCTGGGTTGTGATGCTGTATGTGGGGGCAGAGTCAGAGTGGGGAAATGGCAGCCCTTTCTGCTACATCCTGCCACTGGGGCCCGCTTGGTCCCCTCTCACTGCCCACTACCTCATGGGTCTATCTGCACAGGAATGCGCCGCC